TGGTGGCGCCCGCCCTATGGCAAAAACCTATGGAGGCTGGAGGATTGCGGCATCGAGTCCATCTCAGTCTCTCTCTCTGTCTCTCTCGACGAGCGCACGATTTAAAAAAAAAAAAAGAAAAAGAAAAACAATAAATTCAGTACACAGACATAACAACAAAAAAATTTACACAGACAAAATAGTTTAATGCTTGCAGAAAACCAATAACTAGAGTAGTTACTATGAATAACAAAGTCATACAAGTTACTATTCAGGGACCAGCAGATGGCATAGCAGTTATGTTGCTGACCGTGGTTTGAGTCCTGGAGTTGGTGGCTGAAAAATCACACCGGGTGCATGTGTATGCATGCCCAGGATCCCAGAAGGAGAATGGAGGAGAAGGGAGTGCAGCATGGCCATACACCCTGGGGGGTGATTTCTCACTTTCCCTCTCACTATCTCTCTGTTTCTCTCTCTCTCAGGTAAGCGCATGTGTCTTAAAGCAAAACTCTCTTTAAAAAAAAAAAAAAGTTACCCTTCATTCTCCACATGATTTTCTATGAACTGATCTAAGAATTCATGTTTGAGGTACTCAAGTCAAACACCTATGTGTAATTCAACAGCTGAGGATACTATTAAAAAGTAGTAAATAGGAGCTGTCAGGTGGTGTGGTGGTTAAAGGCACTGGACTCCCACATGGCCAACTGTGGTTCAAGTCCCAGACCTGGTGGCTTGCTTTCTCACTTTCCCTCTTTCTCTCTCTCTCTCCGATCAAAATGAAAAATAATAATCATAATAAATAAAGTTAAATAAAATAATTATTTAAAAAGTAAACAAAATTATAAACTGACTGTTTAATTCAAAGTTATCTTAGAGCAGGAGGCACTTTTATAATCCCACTATCTATTCTTCACAAGTCATTAAACATTAGGCATCAGATTCTTCTAGACCAAGGATCAATAAACTAAACACCCAGTGACTATTCAAATGACATTTTAGCAGGAGGAGGAAGGTACCACATCTTTATTTCTCTCCCTAGTAGCCGGTTCGAGCTGCCAAATACCAACTCTCAGCTCCATGTCAATATGGTACTGCCCACCCCTGGAAAAACAAACAAAAGATGGCAACCAGATGCTTGGTTTTGAAATTAACCTTGTTTGAGCTCACACATAGTTTACAGACTTTCCTTTTTAAAAGAATCCACTAATTACTTCATAAGGAAAAAATATAAAAAGTTTCCACATGTTTTATAAAACTACTCTGTAGACATGTACAAAGTGTTGCTCCATGTTCCTTATATAATAATACCCTTAATGAATAACTTCTACAGTTAAAAATAATGCCAGGGAGACCAGCAGGTGATGTGGGGGTTGAGACACTGGACTCTCACATGGCCAACTGCGGTTCAAGTCCTGGAACTGGTGGCTTACTTTCTCACCTTCTCTTCTCTATCTCTCTCTGGTCAAATTTAAAATCAACAATAGTAACAAATGAATAAAAATAAATAATTCTTTCTAAAAATGCCAGGAGAATCCTTTTTTTTAAAGTTTTAGATCTTTATTAAATCCATTTGTCACTTTTTTTATTTATATTAAATGCTTTTCATTTTATATGCCGCTAAGATTTTTTTCTACTGACCCAATTTTATAAAATCTTTTTTTATTATTTTATTTACCCTTAATTATACTATGTCTTTTACAGCAATACTATGTGGGTTCTCAAGGCACAGATGCATTGTATGTCAGCCAGGTCAAAGATAACTACAGTACACAGTAACTTTCCATTCCTTTGTCTGTTCATTTTTTTTTCCCCTGAGACCCTCCCTTCCACTCCCAACTGTCCAACACCTATATTGTCTCTGGTATCTACGTTTGCTGTTTCTGCTATTATACATTCTAGTCTTTCTGTTTTTGCCATAAAGTGAAGATGTTAGGTGTATATTGAGGGAAGACATACAGCTTTACCTGCTTTGCTTGGCATTAAGTCTTTTTTTTTGTTTTTTTTTTTAAAGATTTTTGCTATAGGGCATGTGTGTTTGCTAGAGAGAGACAGAGAGAGACAAAGTGAGAAATCTCCCCCAGGGGGGATAGGCATGCCACCATCTCTTCTCCAATCTCTTCTCAGCATTTTGGGCATGCATGCATACACACCTAGCATGTCTCAAAGCCTCTGGGTCCAGGACTTGAATGGCAATCAGCCATGTGGGAGTCTAGTTCCTTAACCACTACGCAACCTGCTGGCTTTAGTATTAAATCCTCAATATTCATGCACTTTTTATCAAATGATGGAATCTCATTTTTTTAATCGCTTAGTAATATTCCATAGTGTGTATGAGCCACATTTTTTTAATCCAGTCATCCATTCTTGGGCACGTAGGTTGATTCCATGTCTTTGCAACTATGACTCATGCTACAATAAATATGGATGTGCAAGTGTTTCTGAGTCTACCTTTTGGGTAAATACCCAGGAGTGGTATTACAGGGTCATCTGATAAATTTTGTTTGTAGCTTCTTGAGAACCTCCACACTGTCGTCCACAGTGGTTGTACTAACATACTTTCTCACCAAGAGTGAGGTAGGTTCCCGTTTCACCACAGTCTTGTCAGCACTTGTTATTCTTTATTTTTTTGATCACAGCTACTCTCACTGGGGTTAAATGGTATGTCATTGTGGCTTTTATTTGCATTTCCCTTATGATAAGAGATGCTGCACCTTTTTTCATATGCTTTTTGTCCATTCACATGTCTTCCCAGGCAAATTGTTTGTTCAGCTCATTTAATCACTTTTCAATTAGACTGCTTTTTTGCAGGTATGCTGCTCGAGTTCCCTATGTATTCTGGTTATCAGTCTTTTATGTGAAACATAGTTTGGAAATTTTCTCTCCCATTCTGAAGCCTATAGCTTTCTTTTAAAAACTGGTAACTTTTGGGGCTAGCAGGTGACATAGTGTTTGGGGTGAAAGTCTCCCACATGGCCAATTGTGGTTCAAGTCCCTGACTCGGGAGCTTGTTTTCTTTCTTTCTCTCTCTGGTCAACTTTAATTTAAAAAAAATAATAAAATAATAATAAATAAAATTAAATAATTCTTTTTTAAAAAATTGGTGACTTTTGGGCTACAGTTGGCATAATGGCTGTCACTGGACTCCCATGTAATCAACCGCAGTTCGAGTCCCAGACCCAGTGGCTTAAACTCACGCTGGATGCATGTGTGTGCATGCCCAAGATCCTGAGAGGAGCATGGAGGAGAAGGGATTGCTGCGTGGTCATCCGCCCTGGGGGGTGATTTCTCGATTTCTGTCTGTCTTTCTCTGCCTTTCTAGCGAGCACACACAACCTATAACAAAAATCTCTCAGAAAAAAAATTGGTAACTTTTGAAAAATAGGTATTCATCCAACAATTACCATGGATAAGACTTAAAAGGCTAAGCACTTTAAATCTTTTAAGGACTATAAAACATTTTCAAAGCATTCATACTTTAAGGAAAAGACAGGGAGAATAAAGTACACCTACCATAGAATATACCTTTCTCCCCTTGTCTTAACTTCTGGGAAGCTTAGTGTTGAAATCTGTGTTCAAGTGCTATAATTATTTGCACATGTCATGCTAAATCTCTTATTCTTCATTCTTATTCTTGCCTTTTATACCTTTAAACCTAACTTAATGGTCCCCTTATATGCAGGTTATTTGTTATAAACCACTAGTTACTTTTCAGAAGTAGACTAGATATAACTAATACATAAAATAACTTTATGAGAAATTTGAAAAAGTCTGAAGTCAACTGAACCCTAAGAGTAACCATACTTCGCCCTTTGAAGGTAAAGTAAGACATATTTAGATATTTGATTTTGGACAAGTAACCTACTACTACCTTAGGGCTAGTTTCTTTGATCATAAAACATGAATTAATAACATTCAGTCAGTGCTTTTCACATTTTGTTCTGCACTCTTGTAAATTTAAAAAATAAAAATTTTAAAACATTGCTCTGGCTAAAGTTGGGGTTGAAGCCAAAGGCACC